TTAAGGAGCTTCGCCCCTAAAAGATCACCGCCATATCTAATAAGTGAATCATGTTGGAGGAGCTAGCTCGGAGATTCACAGGGCGTTTTTCCCCGAGACTAGTACTGAAGCGATGTACGTTAACGAGTCAGTGCGTGATGTGTACGTCAAAAGCAGTGTTTCAGCATGGATGAAGGAATACTGGGAGGCTGTTACGTCAAATTTTGTAAAGCCGAAAGTAGAGAAGAGTAGAGGACACTCATCGCAATGATGCTCATGCTTCGGTGGCTCACGCTTGCGCAACTGACACCGATGAGAGGAAGGCGAGCCGCGCGTATCGATGTAGAACGCACCGTGCAGCCCCGACACCGTGATCTGATATAGACGAGCTCGAAAATCGAAACATTTGTGCTGATTAGGAGTTAATCTGCTGCAATACTTTCTTGTATAGCGCCTACGTGCAGCCTCAATTGTAGCCTCATTACGGCTCATTTTGTGGATCTACAATAAACTTGCGGCTTTGCACTTCTTGTTTATCCCACTGAAAGCAAGAGCGACGACGCTAATAAGCTGGATAATCGCTTGCATTCATAATTGTAACGCAAAACTAAAAAAGATGGAGACACAGAAGGAAAGCGTAAACAGGACGGGCACAGGAGAAACAGGACGGGCCCTAAACATCAACTGATTTTTTTTATTGAAAAGTAGCAGAAACCATTGGACATGATCGCATGAGGACAATCAACCCTGAGGTGCTTTTCAAGGCTGTAACGTCGCCTGTTTACCACCCTGAATGCCCAAGACTTTCAAATACTCAATCTCTTTGCAGAAGAAGGCAACCGACGTAACATTGAGACATTTTATTTCACTAAAACATCAGTTGGTGTCTAGCGCTCATCCTCTTTCCGTGTTGCTTCTATGCTCCCATGTCTTCCCGTTTGGCGCTACGAATATGAATGCAAATTAATGAAATCAACTAGTCCCCACCCCCATACTTGACGGATAATTGCCACGGACAAAGTGTACTCACAATGTGAATAAGTATAAATTCAAGATGAAGAAATAATGACACAGTGGCACACGAAAACAATGGCATAATAGTTCGAAAAGCCACGTTCCTAATCGAGAAAAGCTATTGGAGCGAGCAGCAGTCTTGGAAGTATCACTTCGGCAATATTACAACACAGTATTTTTTTTTTCGCTTAGCTTGTTACAGTCCATACCAGCCGCTCGCCAAATAAAGCAGTCTGCAGATGCCACGGCAGCACACAACACAAAGAAATGTGTTGGGAGATGTGGGTGTGGATAGAGGTGTAGCCATATATATATATATATATATATATATATATATATATATATATATATATATATATATATGTATATATATATATGTATATATATATATATATATATATATGTACATATATCATCAGCCTGACTACGTTCATTGCAGGACAAACAGGACAAAAGCCTCTCCCGTGTTCTGCCAATCAACTTGGTCCTGTGCTTGCCGCTGCCAATTTATACCCGCAAACTACTTAATCTAATCTGCCAACTTAACCTTCTGTCTCCCTCTAACCCACTTGCCTTCTCTTGAATTCCAGTTAGTTACCCTTAATGACCAGTGGTTATCCTGTCTATACGCGCTACATGACCTGCCCATGTTCATTTCCTCTTCTTGATTTCAGCTATGATATCCTTAACCCCGTTCCCTAATCCACTCTGCTCTCTTCTTGTCTCTTAAGGTTACACCTATCAATTTTTTTCCCATTGCTCGCTGCATCGTCCTCAATTTAAGCTGAACCCTCTTTGTAAGTCTCCAGCTTTCTGCTCCGTAGCTAAGTATCGGCAAGATACAGCTGTTATATACCTTCCTCTTAAGGGATAGTGGCAATCTACCTGTCATAATTTGAGAGAGCTTCCCAAATGTGCTCCACCTCCTTCTTATTCTTCTAGTTACTTGAGTCTCGTGGTTCGGCTCCGCGGTTATTACCTGCCCTAAGTAGACATAGTCTTTTACATTTTGAAGTGCACTATTACCTATCTCGAAGCACTGCTTTCTTCCTAGGTTGTTGTACATTACTTTCGCTTTCTGCAGATTAATTTTAAGACCTACGCTTCTGCTCTCCTTGTCTAACTCCGTCATGAGTTGCAATTCGCCCCCTGAGTTACTCAGCAATGCAATGTCATTGGCGAAGCGCAGGTTACTATGGTACTCTTCATTAACTCTTATGCCTAACTGTTTCCATTCTAGGCCCCTGAGAACCTCCTCCATACAAACATGATGATAACGACATGCATGTCATGTTAAAACGTGACTACATGTCACACTCATGATGCGCTCGTGGCCGTTTCGCTAGCATCACACATGCCGAATTTGGTATTACGTGATGTTGATGGATGACGAAGGTATGTGACTGGTGCAAACATGACAATCATGAGATGCCTCTCATTTGAGAACATCACGACATGCCACAGTCAAGGCGCCAATACATTTCGACGTGACGCACTGCGCCTGCTCGCCGGCATTCATTCCGTCGTGTCACGCCGGCGTCACCAAACCATGCGCCGGTCCTGCCATATACTCGCAAGTGTGCGCCACGCTGCGTTGCTTTTACGCATGCGCGTTTCAGCGCGTCCGGTTTTTCTCCGTCATGAAAAGAGAAAGACGCAGTTTTGTCTGGGTAACGCATCGGCGCGAAATGCAGCATGTCATATTTCGCGCTCCTTTTCGCGCCGGTTGTCTTCTGGGCGCGTAGAAGTACGCTGGTCGCATCTGGCGTCAGACTTTAGAGTGCTCACATTTTTCTAACGCAGTGTCGCTGTGCCCAGCGTGCGCGCGCGTCAACGCTACATTGGAGTATATTGGGCCCTTTGTGACGCGCTCACGGCCGTTTTTCCAGCTCCACATATACTGAATTTGGTGTTAGGTGCCGTCAATGGAGGCCGAAATATATGACTGGTGCAAGCCTGATAATCCGGACACGCGTGTCATGTAAGAACATGACAACATACCACGCTCATAGCATGCTCGGGGCCGTTTCACTGGCTCCACATATACTAAATTTGGTATCACGTGACGTGAATAGATAACGAGGTTAAACGTCACATCCAAACATGATATTCATGACACGGAAGTCATGTATGGCATCATTTAGCTCTACCTCGTAACGTTGTGCTGATATTAAAGTGACATGTGAACATTTATTATTCGTGTTTCGCCTATCATCAATTCCCACTGTACGCGGTATCTGCCAATTTTTTTTTTCCTTCCACGAAAGGAACACAGCAAAATACAAAGTGTGGTGCATTTCGAGCCTATTGTTTACTCTGTGTGTGAATTGAACATGAATCAGACATAATTGGGCAATTAAGTAAACCCTATTTACCATTTATTAGGAAAGCTCGTGAAAATAACTCACTAATTATTTCTATGTCTTGGAAGGTAATATGGAGTATTACCTTCCATTACCCTAGAATATTGTTGTTCAAAGTAAAGGCATTTGAAGACTCGATCATTATTCGCCTCTCAAGAGAATAATACTGTCGCGGTCCTGGTGCGGTAAGCCCAATCAATTATTACGTTATCATGATCACTCAAGCTTATGTCCTACCAGTTATTTCACTACAGTTAAAAACAAGAAATATTCTGTACGCTTATTTCTGGTTATCACCTCTCGGATGCGTCTGATTATTCCAACAAAAGAACCAAAAAAGCGAGAGCACCACTTTTTTTTGTTCTCTACATTTTTTATGGCCATTGTGGGATCAGTGGCAATGATTCTGCTGACAACGCGGCTCGCACGTCACACCAAGAAGAGCACACCCTTCCGATTCCTTTGTCAAGGACTGACGCTGCAAAGCAACTTCGTCACCTGGCACGTAGTCTGTGTCGGCAGGAGTGGAACACCCCAAGCATAAGACATACGAGACTATACCAAATAAACCCTCGCCTGGAACTTCGACCTCCATACGGACTTCGTCGACGTGAAGCTTTGCTTCTTTGTCGCCTTTGGTTGGGGGTTACCTTCACAAAATAATATAAAACCCTAATCGGGTTGGCCGACAATGCGGAATGCGACGTCTGCTGCGCCAAAGAAGACATCGACCATCTGATATGTCATTGCCCTCGATTTGCCTCCGAAAGACAGAAGCTTTCGGACGCATCGCGATAACTGGACGATCGGCCACTCTCTATGCAGATACTACTGGAACACCGTCCTCGCCTTTCGTCGGCTCAAAAAGTAGTCAAAGCTGTCTTGTGCTTTTTGAGGACTACAGGCCTACGTAACAGCCTTTAACTTTTGTGTAGTGCCACCGCTGCATACGCGCCAGCAGATTGACTGACAATCCTCTTTTTTCTCTCTCTGTCTTTCTCTTTTCTTTCCCTCTCTCTCTCATATTTATGCCCCCTTTCCATTCCCCTATCTTAGGGTAGCAAGCCAAGCATGTGCCTGGTTAATCTCCCTGCTTTCTCTCTTGTTGTTCATCTCTCCCCCATCTCTCCTCTACATTTTTTTAATGTTAGCATAGCGACCAAACATTAATTATAATAAATTCGTTAAGGTTATACACACTGTTTTTCTGTGATTCTTCCCGCTTCGGTGGTCTAGTGGCTAAGGCACTCGGCTGCTGACCCGTAGGTCGTGGGATAGAATCCCGGCTTTGGCTGCTGCATTTTCATGGAGGCGAAGTAGCTGTAGGCCCGTGGGCTCAGAATTGGGTGCACGTTAAAGTACCCCAGGTGGTTGAAATTCCTGGAGCCCTCTACTGCGGCGCCTCTCATAATTATATGGTGATTTTGAGATGTTAAACACCACATGTCAATCATTGTCTATGAGTCTGAGGTCTGTACGCTTTTTTTTTAAATTTCAAAATAGAGTCCCATTTTCCCCCTAAATGGTTAAATACATCACACGCGCACAAATTGTAGGTGTAACGCTACTAACCCCATATGATAACTTGTATAGCATCGTGGATGGTTAAGGATAAATCTTTAATTCACAAAACGCATTCCATACAGCCTGTATTGCAAGAAGCGTATTTTATTCAAATGAGTGCCTTAGACCTTCTAAACTCTCGCTTCTTTTTTATCTACTAAATGGCAGACTGCAACGCAAGAAAAAGCACAGTGGTGCTGAATCCTAGAAACCGAGGGCCTTTTGCAGACATTCCTGTAAATAAATAAAAGTATAGGCAGCAAGGTTACGTACACAAGCAAGAAACGTTAAAACTGCAGCAAAAGATACCATCGGAGAAATGGTAATCTTCAAAATTTTTAACACGAAAGTGTTTCATGCCGGGGTCCACCACGCCCCCGTGACGTAATTCTGGGACGAATATGACATTGTAAACTATTTTGTAATTGGTTGCAAAAGGAAAAAGAACGAAAGGAAAGTTGCGCTGCGGGGTATGGAACCAGCGACTTCGCGCTCTTCATCGCGCGATGACGATTGAGCCAGCAGGCCACCCATCTCTGACATGTTGACGGCGAGTCATATATATAGGCCTTCTACCGCTGGAAGTCCTCCGAGCTCGGAATTTCAGTGCATTTTTGTGATCAGTTGCGAGACGGCACGATGAGTGCGTGCTGTCCGCCCACGCTTTAATGATTATTGTGCCACTCCACCTTGCGCGTCGATGTGCTCGCGTGCTTCCACATGACGTGGTCAAAGTGCGTATAGATCTTATCTAGTCTGGTGCCTCACTAGCACGCGTACGCTTATCTAAGGATTCTGGCGCTGTGTACATCTTGTGCTTCTACTGCAAGCGTGCTTTGAAGTTACAGTAGTTAAACAGAGCACGGACGTTACTTCGCTCGCTGCCGTGGCCGCGTTTAAGCGAAAAGTGCGCTGCTCACATACGAGGTAAGAATCGTGGCCGTTTATCGCGCTCGTGAAGGGGTATACTTGCGCGGTCATTTCATGCGTCATTCGCTCTGTTTTAACAGCGTGTTCGAAGTGTCAGGCTTTGACAGCTGCTTGTTCGCGCTCGTCCTGTGTGTGCTCCTTTCGAGCGTGCTTTCTGGTTGAGGTGTGCCCTGCAAGTTCACAGCTGCTTGCCTTTCCTCACATGACATTGTAATTTGTTACTGCAGCTTTTATTTGTTCGCCCTTGTGGCGGAACAATGCACATTGAACCCTCAACTACCAGTCTAACAGGAAAGTGAAGTGTATCCACTGCGCGGACTCATTTCACTTTCGCATAAATCGATTCCTAAAAAGAGGGATCAACTACATTTTTAACGCGATAGCGTTAAAGAGCTCGTTCGTTGTGAGCCAAAAATCGCCTGTGCGTCTGTGACCGAAAAATTAAGTTACTGAGATAGCCGTGGGAGGCCACTACTTGTCCACGCGTGCACGCGTGTTCACTATAAAAAAGCCGCACATTCGAAGTAAAAAAAAGTGCTCAAGGTCACGAGACGCGGTAGTTTCTTTGCCCTGCCACTTCTCCCTGCTTAGCTTCAATTGATTTCGTCGGGACGAGAGAAGAGATAATGCAATCGCAGCATGCGACACACCTTTGTATCTCCACTCGCATTTGACGAATTCTTGAAACTTTTTGGGGCGTTTAATTTGTGAAGAAATAAGCTCTTCTAGTGAATTCATTCCATGGTTACTTGAAAAAGTGTTTCAGGACCATTGAACACGTTTTGTTCGACAAATGTCACAACGAAAACGAGCCCATTTCGGTGATAATAGTGTGCGCTGGTCCAATTTACTGTGCGCGTGCTTGTGTGCGTGCGTGTGTTTCTAACAAAACATATGAATAAGTATGCACTTAGCGGTTGAAGCGTGCACCAGAGGCCGGTTTTCGCTATGACGTTCAACTCGTAAAGGCGAACCTTAAGAGTGCCCCAGTTTTTTGAAGAGTTTCAAGAACCAGTGGAAATTGGTAAATGTCAATACCAGATAACAGCAAAGGTCCACTTCTATTTTGGTTGATGTGGCCTGTTGCCAAGAATGAAGACAACCAATTCGCTCTTGGAACAATGATGCTTTCTTTCTATATCATTCTTTGAATGAGGATATGCTACAAACCACTATTTCAGCTATTTGGCAATCTGAAATTTAAACGTGAGACTTTTAACGCGATAGCATTGGAGAGCTCGTGTCGCACAAATTCTGCCATCGGCGTCGGCACCGTTGGTTGTGGGCGAAAAATTGTCTGTGAGCGAAAAATCGAGAAAGAAGCAAATAGAACAAAGAATAAGATTAAAAATTAAACCCGCACTGTTCTTGTAGCAAGCAGGTGTCCTACAACAAAGCCATGATGTTACTTCCAGGTGTTTCGAAAAAAAAAAACACTACATAAATGCCATAAAGCAGAAGGAGTCTCCTTAACAAATTTTGTTCGACAGGTGTCACGACAAAATCGAGCCCTATCGGCGAATCGTAGATGTATTTGGGAAGAAATCAAAGTACGTCAAAAAAGTCAGAGATAGTGCAGCCATCGCCGCTAGAAACACACAGGAACTTTCAAACAGCTATAAAGATGGACAACTATGTTTATCTAGCAGACATGTTTGCTTGATCAACACCTTTCTAGAGGCGTTGATCAAGCAAACAGCAAACGCTAGATAATGTGCTGCCATCTGTGAGGCACTGTGAGACTCTTTATGGCCTGCGAGATGGTGAGCGTGGCGTGTATTTTGGAGGCCATGCGACTCTTTATTTCGATCAAGAACGTCTATGTACCATTCGCGCGCGCGCGTTGGTACAATCTACTGTGTGCGTGCGTGCGTGTGTGTGTCTGCGTGTGTTTGTGTGTAACAAAACATAATAATATATGTGCACTTAGCGGTTGAAGGGCGCACTAGGACTCAAGTTTCGCTATCGCGTTCAACTCTAAAGGCGAAGCTTTAGGGTTCCCCAGTTTTTTCTAAAACCGTGTGGAGCACTAGTGATTTTTTGAGCTCTTGTACCTGACATCAGCGCAACACAACGCTACGAAGCTGTCACTGCAAATACCGTTGATTGTTACTCGCTTTATGTATGTAGCCTTTGAAAAGTTTCGTAAAATTGTATGGCTTACACGAAATGATTTGGGGTGGTTAGAACTTGTAGTTATTCGATAGATTTATATGAATTAAGCATCTTTCCTTTGAAGATACTCACCAACCTTGCCCACTTTTATGAGTGCATCCTACAGTGGGTGGCTGGTTGTCAAATAAGTCGTCATAAAACAAACCAGCATTAGATAACTCGTTGTAAGGTAACATTATGTTAGACAAGTAATTAAAAGTCTGAAGAACTTTGTTGACTCACAAGGTGTGATAAACATGATCATAATACAGAATTCTACAGAACATGCCGATATGCCAGATATTTGTGTGTGTTCGCTGTAGACATTTTTACGATGCCGGAAAACTGAACACAATGTTTGTGCTCACAATATTGAGTTTATATATATATATATTTATTAAAAATATAAATAAAGAAAATACATACCATTCCATCATCGAAAATTTTCGCATCATCCGCGCCCATACCGGTGGCCGTCTGTAAGAGAGTAACTCCAAGTAACACGCAGCAAAAAATTATTGTATCGAAGGTAAGCTCATTGGGCTTAAATAGCTGGGGGATATATGTTCACATAAAAAAACTATAGTTACGAGCTCCTATTATACTTCGGTGCTCCATGTAGGTTTTATGAGGTGGTCGCATCAAAACATACAGGAAGCCGCTGTGCTCCGAAAGGGTTGCAGCCAGAACGCTCCCGTCACCTAGTTCAAGCTGGCCTTCGCTACAGCGACACAGCAAGTTACAACCGCTGGATGTAACAGATTCCACAAGACACTACTTCACGTCATACACAACACTGGCCCAACAGCACATAATTACCGAAAATATTATGCCCTAAAGGCAAGTCTTGGTCACCATTAAAAAAAAGTTTTGTACCGAAGCACTTCATAATAATTTATTTATTTATTTACTTATTTATTTATTTATTTATTCATACTTGAGGCCAATATGCTGGCCCATGCAGTAGGGGCGAATGCAATAATACAATGACAAGGCATTCCCAAAAAGACTAACAATGCAAGAAGAAAAACGTACAGTGACAGGCGCATGGGATTTCCGACACAATTGCAAGACACAATTTATGGAGTTTTACGTGGCCAAACCAAAATTTGATTTTCAGACAAGCCGTAGTAAATTTTTTTCAGAAATTTCGGTCATCTGGTTTCTACAAACAAGCGCTAACTTTGCACAGTAAACGGAAACTCTAGCACTTTGCCTGCACTGAGATGCTACCGCTACGGCCTCGAACGAAGCTTCGGACAAAGTGTACATGGGTCACTTTACTCACAATCTTCAGCAGTTATTTATTCAGACCGTTGCTCAAGTTAACTCTGTTAATATGTGTTATTTCCCGTGAAGACAACATTCAGTGGCCTAAGGTTAGTTTTGATGGCTTTCTGTGTTGTAGAGCTCAGGACCTCATGACTGCATATCAATCGCCTTCATAGGAAGGTGACCATTGTACGTAGAGGCTGAAAGTGACTCTTTTAGCAACGTATAGGAAATCGACTGTGACGCAGCAAGACGCAGACACTCCCGTAATGTGGAAGATGAGGGCACTGGTTTCTTTAACCACGTGAATGTAGCAGTAATTGTTAAGCTTTGATCGGGCTATCGAAAATAGATATTCAATGTATTTTTGTGAGATTGGTGCGTGAAACTATTAGAAAAGCAATGACTCAATTTTGTGCCATAACGCCACAAGAAATGAGACAGCGACCACATAGGACGCAGCTCTGTGTCCCGGTGTCAACTGTTCTATTTTGGGGGGCTTTTCTACAGTTATTGAACGAACTACTTCGCTTCAGAATTCTCATGACTCACATTGATTGCCTAGTTTATGCATTTCCTTTTGTGTGTTCTCGGACATTCAAGAATAAAGACAACACATATTATAAATATTAGTGGTGTTATGGTGTGATTCTAAGAAGCAAGAACGCGAATGCGCGTCAACTGTACCTTAAGAGAAAGAACATGAAAGATTTGTTGGCGGGTCGATCAAGCGTTGCTAACTCCCAACAAACTGCTGAATATAGCAGCACCACGGTCAATAGTGTAGGTGGTGGGCTTCAGCAGTAGTGTCTGCGAAGTAAATCTTTAACGTGAAACTTGTTGTACCTGTAATATGAACCTGATTCATTCGGCAGCAGACTATTTAAAAACTCACCTTAACTCTGGCAACCGCCTCTTGCGAGCAACTGACGTACTGAAATAATAAAAAAAGGCGACACAAATAACCTTATCGAAACGTTTTTTTTTAAATTGCCCTATACTTATTAACAAATCATTGTGCATTCATAGTGATTATTATATTTTTTATCTTGGGAGGGTAGTATTGTTACATACAGCACTCCTTATTGAAATGTCACTGGTTGAAAGTCGTCTGTACAAGTCATTATTACCCTTTATACATTCGTTCTAATACTCCTATGGGCCAATATTGTTAGAAGTTATTTCACTCATTAGCACATATATACAGGTTACCAGTAAAATCCATAATGCATAGTCACTTTGATCCCTCGTTGATCTCGAACGGCATTATTAGTAATCCTTGACTAAAAATGTTGATATTGCATAGCCAATTCCAGTGTGTGATTAGTCCGGGAGAATGCGGAATCGAAGACAATGCCTATCTGGGTAGTTATTCTTGAAAAAATGAAGTGAATACAAAGTAACTTTAAATGAAAATGTGAATTGATATGTTGAAGAGACACTACCTAAAACATATCAGTTCTTGCTGAAAGGAAATCTTAGTTATAATGAGGTTAATCACATTAGATGCGAGTAGTATTTATAGACCTAACATACAAATATGAAAGAAGAGCCACTTACAACGCTTGATTTCTGGTCATCAGGAGCAGCCGACAACTGTACTCCGCAATTGTTTAGGGCCGGTATCATCTGGTCGATGACCTTAAAGGTAGCGAAGAAACAGTTTGAAAGTTAATGGCTGGTTATCACTGCGATATAACATTGTGAGAGCAACACTGTTCATGCATTGGGCCTGAGAAATGTTTCAGGTACAGCTGTCACAAACTATTTTTGCAGTGGCAGAAACAAGCGACAGAGTTTGCTTGTTTTCTTAAAGAACGTCATCATTTTATATACAAAGCAGATGTCATTCACTAACAAACAACTTGTCCTCTCTGAGTGTGTGTATTTTTGCGCTTGTTTCATCACAAACAACTCAATCAAACAAAAAAGGGAGATTTATGAAACCCAAGTTTTTCTCTGTGGAATTGTGGCCGCTGAATATATGTACGTAAAATAGGTACAAAGGCGTTATTTGTGATTAACGCGCTGTTGGATAGTACTGTGCCAAAATTCTGCAATCTTTATTTTTAAATTTAGTACAGTTGATTAAGCCTCTCCAACAACAACGAGACGCTGTTTCCGCCTGCCACACCATTTCGATAAAAAGTCGGAAGTACGAAATTTAGGGTACTCCGCAGAACGGCCCCACTGTACGAAATTACTGGCGTGAGAGAGTGAAACCCGAATTGTGAGATACACGTGTTACGGCTCAGCAAGACGAGGGCACCGAGAGATGGTAAACGCCGAGATCAACGCCCAGGAGAGAACCCACAGGCGAAATTGGTGAGTAGGTGTCCCGACGTCTTTTATTACCTTGTCATTTTATGGGCTAATATCTATATCATATGAAACCAACACAACCAGAACACTACGCTACTAAAACGAAAGGTGACCTGTTCTCTTTTTCGTATAGTATAAAGAAACACTAACCTGCATGGCGACTTCAGGTGTCATGGTGGCCATACCCATGAGGCAGGCCTGAATCTCAGGAAACTTGGAAATAACAAGCTGCTTCGTGTCAGCATCGGTGATCTTCTCGTCGATAAGCGATTTAACAATCTCCAACAGGCCTCCTTGCGCTACATCAACCCCACAGAAATTAAATATGTAAGACTGGCCCTTCATCACAAAGTTGCAGGCGGATAACTCACACCGGTTGACACCATTGATTTAGCGACTCTAGGTCTATAAGTATACTGATTACCAAATGCAGAATGTCAACGATGTTGGTATACTTTACTTTCAGCCATGTTCACAGCGTTTTTTGTTTATATATCGCAAGTTTTCAAATTAATATATTCTAATAAATTGCAATTCAATACTGACTGAGATACTGTGGGAAGGCTGTAACATTGCATGGATGGTACGTTGTTTCATAAGTACACACCACTGCGCAGTAGAAAAAAAAAACACTCTCAAATTGATTACAATCTACTGATCGTGTTAAATTAAGACATCAATAACCAGTTGTTTACCTTGCTTGTATTTGTTTTTTTTTCATTTTTTTCTGTTGCTCTTGTGCATGATAGACGCTCACTATTTTACTATGAACACAACTGTGTCACGTCACTTGCGAGCGCACCTTTAGTCACACCGAAGTACCGGCTGCGCACCGATAAAACAAGGAAAGGAAGACCCTAAGTTTAAACTAAGGCTTTAGCGGTTAAATCAAAATATACAGGTGAAAAGGTGTTAAGCACAATAAAAAGTGGGAGGTATTAGGATGCTTTCATCACACGCAATAATGACATTACAGCATACTCACGTACGCTTTCAAAAAAAAAAAACAGCACGCTCGCCTAATTGCTATGGATAATCGTATACCTCTCGGCGATGGCACGCACACCGCTCTTGATCCAAAGTTATCGTGACCGATGAATACAGCGCAAAGAGAGGTACGCGAATTAGATGACGAATTCAGGAATTGTGGCTTAAAAACACTCAAAATACGCCCATTCTGTTGAGAGAGTAGTGAATGTTATGGAGTGTAGTTACCTTGTACGTATCCTATGGTGGCTCCAAACAACAGAGTGGAGGCGACTAGAAGGCGGAAATCCATTGCCGACCCTCGTGCGATGTAAGGATGGACCCTAAAGCGTTCGGCGGGAGTGAACACGGCCGTTTTTAAAGGAATCTTCAGATGTTCCACTTCACCGAAATTGCACTGAAGGGACACCAGAGGTACAAGACAAAAAAGAACATTTGCGCATCACGCCTCATTTGTGATGAACATTCGATTAGACGATAAGACGAAGGCGGGACGCGGGACGTTTGGAAACAATGGCCTTCGGGCTCATCCCGACAAAAGTGGCATGATGTTTGGCTCGTGTAAGCATGTGTAAAGCAACACCACGAATTATTCAAGAGGGCCTTCTTCAGGAAAAAAAAGATGCATCACATCCGGTCACGCTTCCGCGACCCAGCGCAGACTGGAGAGCTGTTTCCTGTACGCGAATGCCGCTTGAAAGGGCATGTTATTGTGCTTGCCATTGTGTCAGTTGATATTGGGTGATCATTTTCTCTCCTTAGTTGACGATATCATTAACATGTTGGTTTCACCCCAATTGTATTGTTTTCTCAAACATAATTACTAATAACAGATGTATAAGCAATAGGTGATCAATAACGGTATAAGACCTTTGTTTTTCCTCCTCAGTTGAGGTATCAAAGAAGAAGGCAGGACAGTATGAGCATGACATTACGTGCAATGTAGTGACTGCGAAAGGATGATTAGTGCGATATATATCAAGTGAAAGTTGGACGAGTCCAAAATATTTTAATGCAGCATGTTAAAGAAAAGTGTTGCCCAATGTTATGTGAAATACACTATCAGTGTAATCCAGGCGCTGAGATCGTCATCGCACCAGTGAATTATCAACATGATCTTCATCATAATCAAGGCTTCTCACATGTGCCGACAATCAACCCGGTCCTTTGCTTGCGACGGTCACGTTATACCGGCAACCTTCGCAATTTCCTCTGACTGTCTAACTTTTTGTCTTCCCATGGCGCGTTTGCCTTATTGTGGGACTCATTCGGGTACGCATAATGACCATAATGACCAGCGGTTATCTCGCCTACGCGCTACAAGCCCTGTTCATGTCATTTCTTGATTTTTTTTACTAAAATGTCCTTAAAATACGTTGATTCTCTGACCCACTCTACCCTCACCACTCAAAGCGGCTTTAAAGTCTACATCTCTTGACTACAACGATGCGAGAGCAATGTTCAAGACTTAGACTGCTTTGTACAGCTGAATAATGCTTCCGCATGCATAGTAAACGTTTATCATAAAACAGCTCCCACGAAAAATTCTCTGAATAATTTATGCCTCGATCTTCGGGAAAATATGGAGTAACATCAAGGTAATAGCTTGTGTGATTGTATTTTGTTCGGATGGTCGCGACAAAAGAACCGTTCAAAACGTTGCAGACAACTTTCAACAGACTTGCGCAGACTTGACTGTGAAGACAGTAAAATTGCGTGCGGGTTTCCTCTTTGTCCTTTCTATATATTTTTTACATCTCTGTATAACTCTTCTAATGGCCCCACTGTATGGGAGCATGCCAGTCATCGTAAACTGGTCGATTTCACTGCCTTTGCTCTCTCTCACGTTTTTTACTTTTAGGTATTTATTTCAACGTGCTTTGCATAGTGCGTGTAGCTAAAATATGCTTACAGACTGCGCCCATTATGAATATACATCTCTCTTTGTGTCATGTAGTGGTGTAGAGATGATGCCTAGAAACTTGAAAAACGAACAAGTCTTTAACGCGAAGGACCGTCGCTTCATGGCCGAACACTCTGAAAAACAACACCTATTCCGAGTTCAAACACCGTCGCACGCAGTTAGTGTCGTGATTGCGCAAGTGTGTTTCTTTCATACGAGGCTTCTACTAGATTAGGAAGGTTCTCCTGGCTTAACGTAACGTATAGTATAGCGAGCCTAGTGGGTCTTGATGATTTCGTATTCTAGTTACAGAGACGCAACGTACACGTAAACGTAGATTACACTAAAAACAAGCTATGTTTTTTACCTTCATAGTGGTCTTCTAGGGACCTCAACGTTGTCGTGATGAAACAGAGAAGGGTGAAAATAAATGTCCCACGCAAGCAATTTTGGTTGAGCTTTGTTAGAGCTATAGTGTACTATAGTTCAGCCATTCACGCGCTAACTTAGCCATAAAAGATTATTAAGTATAACTGATTGCTCTGCCCATGTTCTTTTATGGTGCAGCTACGTTCTAAATAACCCTATTGCAGCAAGCGAGAATAATACTCAGAGAATATAAGGAAGGCTTTTTATCCAAGTTCTTTTTTAAAAGGAAAGCACTTTAAGAGTCCGGTTATAGCAAGCATGTTTTTTTTTCGAAGAGTATTGCATAAAAATAAAGCTAGCAACTGAACGCTTGCTTTTAAAATTGGGAATTTCAAATGTTTCTGCAAATTATGCCTCTGAAGGAACAGAGTGAGCCACCATGAAGACTGGCACCACTGTAACTGCGGAGAGAGACGCTGCTGTAAGTTTGAGGGGTTTCCAAAACTTTCAGCATTTGGCATTCAAGCATGATGGAATGTTGTAAAAGACGCGGCTTTACTTATTTACGCAGAGTGATTCGCGTTCTGAGGGTTTCATTGCGGTATTGCCAAAATTCCTTTGTCATGTACTTCATGGATGGCTTATCAAACGCTGAAGTATCGATTTTTATACAAAATTTGCTGTTTGCATTGACGTGTTCGAAGTAATAACGAAAAACACTGTTACCGTGTAACGTGAACTCTCTTATATGTATGGAGAACAGGAATGAAAGAGAGAGAGCGTACGGCAATGGTTAATAAGAAACATGTTATGCGTTATTTCTAATGAACAAGTATAACCAATTGGTGGTGGTGAGTTTCACCCAGAAGTGTCAATAAATGATGAAGGCGGTGATGACAAGAAATGAAGAGAAACAGATACAAAAAATAGATTAGAGAAACAGAGGTCATGAAATAAAAAATAAAAGGTACAAAGATCGCAAAAGCAAGAGAGAAAAATAAAATAAAATAAGAAACAAAACAAATTAAATGAGAAGAAACTTGTGCACGAAATAAACACAAGCAACAAACAGTACAAAGAACAAAAATTACACAAACAAGAAAGCAACCATGCTATGACCTATTGTCAGTCTTGGCATCGTTGGTGTGAAGGTTGATATTTTTTTCCTCTCTGAGATACGCACTACGAAAACAAACAAAAAAGTATCCGCCACTTCCTGCTAAGTCCCAATTTCAAAACCATAGCTCAGTTTAAAGATGCAAATGAACTCTCTTTTGTAGTGTCGTGATGATCCGAGAAGTCGAAAACAATTTTCAAAGAAAGTTATTATGTGTATTTATAGAGAGTTGTACGTGCGACAAGTACGCACGTCAAAAAAATAAAAAAAGAGGTAACTGAGTCTGCTCATTTATTTCTATAGCCTTAGTCGGAAGACATGGACTTTCCAATATTTTGTGTGTATTTCGTTCAGGAAGTGAGTATTGCTCTCCCATACTAGACTACATTGTACTACATTGTACTCTGAACTACATTGTAAATTGGACTACATTGTACTCTGAACTGTCGAACATTTGTTGTAAACACAATAATAATGAAACATAACAAATAATAACAAAAAGAAAATTATAGTGGAGATTATTGGAAGTTTTTGTAATGTAGATCTGACCAAAAAAGTGTAGATGAAAGGAGAACTTGCCGGGGGGCAGTGACCGAACTTACAACCTTTTATTAACGCACCCGATACCTTACCAACTGAGCTAATTGTTCCCATTGTAAAAAAGTGTAAAACATTTTGATACATTTTATGGTTTCTTCAACTTGTCACATTGGAATACACAAACATATTGGTGTTTAGTGCCCATACATTATTTTTACTTGTTTTCTCCGTCTCCATATGTTTATATTCAAGTTACATGTACAAATAAACCTCAATCCCCTCTTCAGTCCACGCTGCTCTCTTGGAATCACTTGGGATTCCAACGACTCTGTAAAATATCTAATACACTAGTGGCGCTTGCTTTCAGGGCACTTCTTCCTGCTAACATGCACGTTATTTCTTGATGAGCTAGTGTTAGCATCAATGCTATGATTGCTCGCAGTAAGCTTCGCAGCGCGCCTTTGCTCATATATTGCCTAACAGTGCCCCCAGTTCAACCAAAGTTTTAAGTTGCTTCTCTTGCTTGTACCCGCGGTCGTCTTCACACAGGTTAATGGTACCACGTCACGGGTATCCACACAGGTCTTAAATGGTCTGCCCAAACTCTTTGCGGGCAGTCACTGTTGCAAGTGGCATAGCATGGATAATATTTTGTCTCCCTTTTTTCAAAGAATAGACGATGCTTCATAAAAGCAGCAGAACATCTAATGGTATTTCTTTTATGACTCATTCTCAAGAATTGTACATCGTGGTTACGTTGCCAATATTCGGCATGCTCAACAGTCACTGTTTATTATACCCACACAGCTTGCACATTTTAAGAGAAAACATAATCGGGTGTTGTAGAGCCTCTGAACTAAAAACTTCTAGAATTTGAAAGTAATGGTTACTATTTTTTCTGTGTAAACCTTCCTCTTTTGTGATTAAGCTCGACCTTGTTTTACGTAACACTTCTTCGCGACCACTTACTTGTGTATATCCACGGTACCTGATTCTTCAACCTGAGAGTGAGGCTTAAAATAACGACTAGATAATCATTACGTTATTCACAAATGATCAAGCACTGATCACCACGTAACCTTGATGGTTTCATCTCACTTACATCCACTAAAAGTTTTTGTCAGATACTGATTGATTGATAAGGGGGGGGGGAGTTTAACGTCCCAAAACCACCATATGATAGCAACAGAATCGAAGTTGGGCTAGTTGGATATGCATGGTATAACTATCAGTTAAAGCTTGTCCTCTCTTCCTGTCTGTTTTTCGTGCGCTTTAACTGATAGTTACAATAAATGACTATGAGAGACGCCGTAGTGGAGGGCTCCGGAAATTTCGACCACCTGGGGTTCTTTAAAGTGCACCC